CTTGTGGCATGCCTGTTTCCTGGACAAATGTTTGGGCAAGAACCATGCCCACTCGGACACGGAATGTCCGGTTTGACAGGTAACTTTCGAATATGTGAAACATTCTTCCGCGCACGCGAAGGTGGACAGGTCTCTTATAATTCCAAAACGCCATGTTGTATCATAAGCCTTTTCGATATCGAGGAACACAGAGAGAAAATATTGTTTATGGACGAAGGCGTCTCTGATCTGTGCCTCAATACAAAGAAGGCGGTCTGTGGTGGATCTACTCTCTCGAAACCCGCACTGAATTGGGTCGAGCAAATTGTTTGTTTCAAGCAAATGTACAAGTCGGCAGTTTATCATTTTTTCGAAGACTTTGCACAAGCAGCTTGTAAGTGAAATAGGCCTATAACTCGAAGCTAAAGAAGGGCCCTTGCCCTCTTTCAAAATGGGATAATAATAGCCTCTTTCCAGGAGGTAGGAATAGTGCCAGAAAAGTAGATAGCATTGTACAAAGTAAGTAAGGTTTTTCGTGTTTCGGCTGGTAGGTTTTTTAGCATTTCATACACCACACGGTCAGAACTTGGGGCAGAAGTACTGCAGGAGTTTAGAGATGTTCAGAGCTCAGCTAGACTGAAAGCTTGGTTATATGCCTCGTATCTAGTGCATTTGTGTTCGAGTTTCTGCTTTTTTATTTTTGTTCTGTAATTTTGGAAAGTGTCAGTGTAGTGGGACGAGCTGGATACTCGATCAAAGTGTGCACCGAGGAAGTTTGCTTGATCTTCCAAGGTATCACCCTGAGTGTTTACGAGTGGAAGTGTGTGTACTTGTTTTCCAGCTATCCTACCGACCATGTTCCAGACTTTAGCCTCCTGTGTGTATGAATTGATCCCTGACAAAAACTTCTGCCAGCTTTCTCTTCTGGCCTGCCAACGCGTTCTCCTGCCTTGAGACTTTATTTTCTTGAAGGTGTCAAGATTTTCGGCTGTTGGCTAGTTCCGAAGCAACCTCCATGCCCTGTTCTGTTCCTTTCGCGCATTACGACACTCTGTGTTTCACCATAGAACGTGTCGTTTGCCGGGCATTCCAGATGTTTGCGGTACGCACTTGGCTGCTGCGTCAGTTAGAAAAGCTGTGAAGTACTGCACAGCTTCATCTTTGTTTAACCTACACATGTCTGTCCAGCTTAAACGTGTAGTGTTATGGAACTCTTTCCAGTCTGCTTTGTTTATCAACCATTTCGGAACATGTAGAGGACATTCATATGTTTGTGAACTCAACACTACAGAAAAATGGTCACTTGCATATGGATTATTTATGACTTTCCATTTCAGTAGGGGCAGGAGTGAAGGTGATACGGTGCTGAGGTCCATAGACGACTAAGTTTTGTTGGCAACGTTATAGTATGTTGGCTCTTTCCTATTCAACAAACAGGCACCGGAAGAGAAGAGAAATTGTGCAATGAGATGACCTCGTGCATCACAGCGAGAATCGCCCCACAGTCCACTATGTGCATTTAGGTCCCCAAGAAGCAAAAAAGTTTCAGGCAGTTCGTCTATTAAAGACTGGAATTCACGTCTTTCAAGACGGTGGTGGGGAGGTACGTACAAAGAGCAGATGGTGACGAGTTTGTTTAAAAGTACCGCTCGAACAGCCACCGCCTCAAGGGATGTCTGGTGTGGTAAGTGTGTACACGCTACTCATTGGTTAATGATAATGGCTACGCCACCGGATGACGCCAGAGCATAATCTCGGTCCTTTCGGTATATGACGTAAGCACGTAAAAAATTTCATTGGAGGATTTTAGGTGTGCTTCTTGTACACACAGCATTTGAGGTGAGTGTTTGTATAAAAGCTCTTGGACGTCGTCGAGGTTTTTAAGCAGTCCTCTGACGTTCCAATGTATATTTTTTGTGTTTCCATAATGGAAGTAAAGTAGTGCTGTGTGTACGTTAAGGAAGTGACTTGTTTAAGCTGAAAGGTCGAGCTCAAGTAACAGGGCTACTATCAGGCCTTGTTATGAGCTTTTTAGTTCTCTTGGCGCGCTCCAGAGAGCCGCGCCGCTCTTTTGGCACCAGGGGTGCCGCCGTATCCATTGCCTCCTCGGAGGCACTGGATGCCCGCTCATGCGAGCTGGTTTTTCGAAGCTTGGGCCTCGCCTGGCAAGGTGAGGCCTTGAGACCCGAGGACCCTAGAGTCGCTGGTCTCTGGGCAATAGTAGGCGGAGTAGACTGAACTACTGCCGCCTTGGGGGCAGGCGCCATAGCCAATGGCTCGCTCTGCGCAGGCCGAAGGAGTGGCGAGGGCTGGTGCGACGCTTTCCCCTGGCGCGCCGCATCAGCATATCTGAGGCCGTAAAATGGCGAGACTTTCCTTCTTGCTTCTTTAAATGTAATGTTTTCTTTTATTTTTAAAGTGATGATCTCTTTTTATTTTTTCCAGAAAGAACAGGAACGTGAGTACGCGGCATGACTACCGCCACAGTTCACACAGTGTGCAGGTGCTTCGCAGTTGTCGGACGCATGGCCATGACTCCACATAGAGCGCAAGTTTTCCGGCCACGACAGCTTTGCGAGCCGTGGCCATATCTCGGACATTGGAAGCAATGGCGGGGGTTGGGAATATATGACCTCATGGATGTCTATGTATACCCAGTCTGAATGGTTTCCGGCAAATCGCTCGAAGCAAAGGTCAGTACTAAGTGTTTGGTTGGTATTTCCTTTTGATCTCTTCTTATCTTAATACACTGTACGTTTGTCACCTCCTGGCTCTTCAATCCTTCCAGAAGTTCAGCTTCGGTCAGGTCAAGCAAATCTGCGTCCGATACTACCCCGCGAGATGAGTTCATGAACCTGTGTGGCGTAATACTGATGGGTGTGTCTCCAAACGTTGTGAGGGTGTTCAGTTTATCGAATTGGTCTTTGTCACGTATCTCAAGGAGTATATTTCCGCTGGCCATTTTGATAACCTTGTACCCAGCACCGAGAGTTTCGGTGAAGCACCTAGCCACTATGAAGGGGGATACAGTTCTGGCTTGCTTGTTAGTTTTCTCGCAGTGTATAACGTGGAAATGAGGAAAGATTTGTCTTTGCCGGAAGAAAAAGACTATATCTTTGGTGCGTACCCACTTGGAAGAGGCACGATCACTAAGTAAAGGGAATGCTTTATGCATGCTAATCGTATGTTGTTCAGCATCGTTGGCGGCCACCCACCACGGAGCCCAATGAGGCGACGCTGCAAGTTTGCGAATGCTGAAAGCTTGCAAACGTCAGCCGTACAACTCTGCTATAACCCAATGCACCTAGGCCAAGGTAGGCTATTTGCACAGGGTTAACCCTCGCCGCCGAGAAAATTGGAAGTAAGCAGAACAGAGAAGTAGACAGGAAAGCTAAAAAAGTAAGAACGACGAAGATGTAGGAGAGAGAGATTGGAAAAGGCGACTGCCGATTTTCCCTGGTTGGGTCAGCCCAGGGGTGCCGTCTACGTGAAGCCGGAGCCAAAGGGGTGTGTTGCCTCTGCCGGGGGGCCTTAAGCGGTCCAATCACCCAGCGTCGGCTCAGCCCCCAGGATCTTCTTTTCCCCGGACACGGCAAAGCCATGCACGGCTAGGCGTGGGAGGAAGTAGAAACTCCCCCATTATCTCCGGTCCGTGGTGTCTCTACACACCAAACGCCTACTTGCGCAGGCGCCCCTGCGGGGATCCTAGTTGCTGTAAGAAATCATAGTGCAACATATTATTTACAGCGTAACGGTGCGGCAACAATAATTCAGGAGGGAGTGTGGCGTTGCCCCCTCTGAAAAAGGCGTCGTCACAATGCTTTGGACAAATTATGAAAGTACAATAATTAGTGCAGTAAGAGGATAAACAAAGAGAACGGGATAATAAAACAGCAGCAACAACAAAACTAGAGTCCTTGGATCCGCGCAATAAATAGCTTGAGGCGCACAACATGGATGACTTCAGGTCGTGCCTAATCTGAAAACGTTTGGTCGTGGACGTTACCGTTGAAACCTCGAAATCAAAAGAGAGATATATGGTATAAAGAAAGGCAGGAAGGTTAACCAGACAGCAGGTGTATCACATGCGACAAGGAAAGGTGATGCCAGAAGCAGCACACAAAACGTTTTAGGCTCTGCGCACTAGGAGTGCAATATGAGACACCTCTAAGCTGTGGCAAGTTCTATATTGGTCAGACGGAACATAGCATCGATGACTGACTGAGGGAGCATGCCAATCGTTTAGGCGAAATTGGTCATGTGCATCTTCCAGTGCACTTTAAAGGCTGCCGATGTGTGCCATGATTTGAGCAAACGGTGGTTCTTTGTGGTAGTAACAAATAAACAGCTAGAGAGCTCTTGGAAGCTTTTTTTGAATAAGAAATGACCCATTTACGTCATTGATACATCTATCAAGTTGTGTTCTACTGAAATGCGGTCTTTAGATAACTTATTGCCTTACAGAAGACGCTGTATGACGTTTGTTGGCTCTGCACGCATGTGCGGAATTGCTTTCCTTTTCACTGTGCGTTTCATTTACCAGCAGTCAGTTGGCGCTGTTCTTCTCTTCTGCTCTCCCTGTTTCACGAAAGGTTTTTTCGTCTATAAGTCATGTACACCAAGTAAGCACCAACTTGCCCCAAAACAAGTCATTTTGCGAAAACCACTGTTTTCGCTTTACAAGCCATTGTACTGGCCCGTGTGGCAGAACTGCTCAATATAACCAAACAAAATTCGCTGAGCCCCTTAGTGAAGCAATATGCAATGTTTATATAAAAAATATGACCAGTGAAGCAAATAATAAGTGAGGCAGGTCTATATAAAACTGGGAAAAACAATGTAGTTTTATGAGTTATTAACACGTTTTCTGTTTTGTGTAGAACAGTAACAAACGGGTTTCCAGGCTACAGTGTACCTAATGTCTGCACGAAACAGTTTGCGATCTGACGAATAGTTCATTTATTACTACTTTTTGAATAGGGCCATTTACGGCTTCACCTATTCAGGCATAAGAAACAGCATTTATGAAGCAGTTAAAAACACTTTTTTTAATACGATGCAGCCGAAAGTCAACAATTTCGTGAATTTCAAAGCATGCTAAATAGAAACACCTTTTAGCATCTTGTGCACTGACAACTATAAAACTGTGCCATTAGGATCGAACAAAGGTTTACCTCATATCCAAACAGTCTGAGTTGTTTATTTTATTTTTGAGTCAAACGAACTTGCTTAAGCCACAAATTGTGTTGGGCAAGTAAACGTTGCCTTCGGAACGTCAATTTTGTTCTAAGCGCTACGTCAGCGTAGACTAGTGCCAAATAAACCACTACCACATTAAACTCGTTTTGTAGTGGTTGTTCGAACCGGTGTGGTACGTGCAAAAAAAAAAAACGGCTAGCTGCTGCCGGCATTCTGTTGTTCCGCGGCCGCAACCTGAGCCTCCACATCAAAGCTCTGGAAGGAGATTGAGGTGTCTTCATCAGCCGGGTCTGGCGGTACTCTGTGGCCCCAACCACCTTGCGTCGAGCTTTCACCGAAAGACGACTCGTGATAGGACCTTTGAAAGATCCCCATTAGCTCGGAAGGCGGCTCCGATGTTAGGTCTACAGATGCAGATGTCTCCTCAATGCCGGGCATCACTCCACGTCTAGTGGTTGAATTTTCTGCCACGGACGCCATCTTGTTAACTGTGGTTGCAGCTGCTTCACTGGCGTACCTTGGAACCAAAAAGAAATGAGCTTATGAAGGCGTGAAGGCAGATGAGCATAGGTAGAAACAACAACCTCGCTCACTTCTGAATGACCTAGGTACTGCGAATGTCTCATCGTGCTGAACAGTGGTACGTGCCTAAAAGTGGTTGTATACAGGTAACAGCAGCAAGACGCCGACGTAGGTGGTGATAGAAAGTAAGAAAGGAAGTTGACCACAGAACATTGTTGCAAGGCCTTATGCTCCCTTCTGTGCAGCGGCTATTACCATTAGTGTCAGCAAATCAGTTAACTTGAACAATGTGCGTGATACGCTCCTCTGACCCCTGAAAAGTATGCAAAAAGTGTAAAGGTGCTGTCCTCACTCTATGCTGAAGCTGTTTATGCGGACATGTGAATTTATCTAGAAATAAGCGGAGGCAGCTTCGCACTAGGGCTTCCAAGCCTGAAAGAATAGCGAGCCTTAATTCGTCTTTGATGTCATATTTCTTTGTCCTCTCTTTTTCTCTCGTCTCTTTTGCAGATATTTCTTTTCTTATATTTTTATTCTGCTTCACATTTCTTTTTGGCTTTCTATTTCTATCTTCTACCTTTCTCTTTTCCATTTCTGCGCGTGGTCTTGCCTCCAATACGCCAAGCGACGACCAGCTGGGCATCTAAAGTGCTCTGAACTTGACGTCATTTTAAAGGAGTTCGATTAACAAGATGCTTCTCCTCGATGCGGGCGCGTTCAACATGCTACAGATCTGGTTATGCAATACACAGTTTCGGTGTCTGTAGACCAACTCGAACGCACTGAATGGCCTTGCCAAGAAGAGTTGTGGAGCGCCACTTCTGGTAATGCTTTTTTTAGTAGCCCATGGTGGTGTTTGCCTGGTGTGCTTGAGTTTGTTGTTGCATTATTTGCAGCGCATTCTCTCCTGTGATGTCTAGTGATTAAATGAAGAAGCTGGCTTTCGTCGCAAGGAAAATCTTGTAAAAGCAATAACTACAGTGCCAAAGAGAAGAGTGGCCTTATCCGCTGGACAGGTAAGATGTGCAAAGCAGCCTTTCTACTGCAGCTCAAAACCTGCTTCCTGTCATAGCCACCTGCAAGTTTATGTAGTCAAGTCTGTGTTACACTGGCCACTTTCGATAGAGATGAACCTATTGGAACAGCTCATGGTTCGTGGTGTTCAGTTGGCCTAATATAATATAAAATTCACTCATTATGTGATGACATCGAGGTGCAGCTAAGTGTTGTGAACCACCCTAATTTTCTAACGAGTACAATATTCATTAGTGAAACTTTGAAGCTAATTCGCTTACATGTAGAGTCCATGCTTGCACCACAAGAGGAGTTAGCTAGAGTCAGACGATGTTCACTAGCGGTTGCAAAACAGGCGATTAGCCATTTGTTCGCTCCGATGTGTGAATTCATTCGCAGGCGTCACTCCTTAGAAAGCAAGTACAACGGTGACAAAACACGGATACCACAACGTAAACTATACCGTGATACTAGTTGAACGCGATTGCTTTAGCGTGCTTTGCGTTGCTTCCTACAGTACAGACCAATGCAAACACATTTTCACGATGCATTTTTGGGTTAGCCAACTTTCATGCCTTACTACCTAGTTCAGGTGTCATACAACCTATCGTTCAAAGGTAGAAGAGGACAGCGACAAAGTGTTCCCAGTAATTGGGGACCCTCACCTAAATTACGAACATTGCTTCTCCGCCATTTCAATATACGTGAGCTTTACTTGCTATGGATGAAATAGAAAAATATAAGCAGTCTTAGTTGAAATCCAGTTTTTTCGCCTGATCCCTGCAGTCCAAGTGCTCTTCCTACTCGCATATCTTGAAAAACAACACTTCTACTTGCGATAGCAAATTAGCTCAGAATTGAAGACTGCATCTTGGCAGTGCAGAGCAAATGCCCGAGTAGTGATCGCCTCATCCAAAGAATTATAACTGCAGAAAACATCAGAACTCAAGCAGCCACTGTTAGCGACGATGGCCTAAAGCCACAAAAAGTAGTATGGAAAGGTTTAGTGCGAGTTTCCGGCGAACGAACAGTGTTGCCAGAAAACGGCAATTGCCGTTGAAACCATCTATACGTAGTTTTACCAGGGTTACAGAAAGGTATATTAGACGATGACAGCACCCAAAAACCCATGCCTCTAAATTGCTCTGCACCTAAAATCATGGCTACTTGTTAAGACGAAAGGACACGCACTATCACACTTCCAGGTATGCAGGCGAACGCACATGCTCCTCGGTACTTGTGCCTGTGCTTTCTTTGTACCCGCTTTTCCGTGGAGTTAGTTGCTAATATCTCATGATGAAAAGTTATACATCTCACAAAAAGCAAGTAATTACAATATCAATAACTTCATACAAAAAGTAGATGATTATAGTGGTCGTAAAAAGGCACGTGGCGACGAATTCTCGCCTTTGGCGACCACACTTGCCAACTGTTTCCGCGTCAAGCTCTCATTACGGCCACATAAAGGTAACTGATTAATCATAGAAGTGGAATCGATTGGCTTCGTGTTACTTTCCTTCAAGATTACTTATATATCAAATTATTAGAATTTTATTGAACTTACAAAAAACTAATGTGGCTTGAATGGCAAAAAGAATGCTGGAGGCTTGCTTGAAAGTTTGGGAGGCTTGTTGCAGGTTCTATGGTATTGTTACACGCTCACTTTCAACAAAAGTTCTTTTTAATGTCAGTGTTTCATCTCTACTTGCTATACTTAAGATTCGTTCACATTTGTGACGTGGACGTCCCTATAATGTAAGAGCAGTTGCGTCTCAGCCCGTAGTCACACAGTGCTTCGAAGCTAGAGTTCATGTCCTTCATGACATGTGGCGCTTCCTTGTTCAAGGTGCTCGGAGAAGGCATTCCAGGTACGGGTAACGAAGAAGAGAGAAAACGAGATCTGCAGGGATTCTTCTTCATACAGTACAGGGCCCCTGCAAGTTCATCGCATATTTTTCTGGGCAAGGACTGCCATAGGAGACCAATTACGACTTGTTATATAAAACAATAGTAATAAATGACCGGTAATTACTTACAAGAAAATTGTTTTGAATTACCCATAACAACAAGGTTCAGAACACCAATTGGTTACAATTTTACAACAAACTGTTACTGATTACAAGTAATGGATTACCTGTAATCTGTTATACGTACAACTCTGATTACCAAGTCACTCAGCACTCAATTTCATGGACTGTCTTGCACCCAGTGCTTTACAGAATTCGTCTAAGAGCATTCTTCGTACTGTAAATGTTTACGAACTTTCTTTTACTGAACTTTTTCAAATTTGATAGCTTTCTTTCACTCCCAACTTCGCGTTTTTTTGTGCCTGCCAACATGAATATTATTTCTCTTGAGGGACACATCATTCCAAAAGGAATTCAACTACCATATATGTTTTCTATGCAAAACTGAACTTATCCTGTACAGAGCTTGTGTCGTCAAATTGTGGCCCACGAAGCACTATTATGCGGCCGTCAATCCAAGGTCAGAACCCACATCCAACCCCCCAATTAAAAAATGACCGCTCTCTGTCTTCATGCGTCGGTCGTTGAGCAACGTTGATGCTCAACGACCGACCCAGAAAGTCGAGGAGTTGGCTAGGCTTCAGCTCCACAAGCCTCATTGAACGTTTTTTGTCTTGTAGCTCATATAGGTAAACTGCAAAATTGTGACATGCGCAGTTTGAAAACAAACTTTATATTTTTGTTCAAGTTTTGCGCAATTTTACCATCGATTCACCTAGATGTTTTTCTCTTAGCCTGCATAGCACCCCCACACCCTCTTCTTCCTGTCCGATTTGCCATACGGCCACCGCCATGTAGGCTTCATGAAACTCGCCTTATTACGGGGCCTTCAATAATGAACTAGTGCAGTATAATTTGTAGAAAATTGCATGATGTTTTATTTCGCAGGGCAGCAATAATAGTCGTTGTAAAGGGGAATGAATGATATTACTGATTGATTGATTTGTGGGGTTTAACGTCCCAAAACCACCATTTGATTATGAGAGACGCCAATGATATTACTGGCAAAAGAGTACATTACGGGATGAAGAATGCTCTTGTGCATACACCAGGTTTAGCACGCGTACTCGTTCGCATGGTTGCACAAGTGAACGTGAACCAACATTTGAGGACTGTCGAAATAACTGGTTGTGAGATAGATGCCTGCGGAGCCGTTTTTCGAAGGGAGGGGGGTGGATCAAACTGATCGTCAGAAGAAAAAATTGGCCTCATATTTGCATGTTAATCGCAAACTGTTGTCGAAAGACGATAGTCTAACGTGTGGAGAGAGTGATCAAAGTATTCACTTGATGTTCTGGCAAGAAAAACGGTGAATGGTATTATCGAGGCGCTGCGTTAGAGTGCCTCGAGCGTGCAGCGGAGGCGAACGAGCGAATCCAGTCACGCCATTTTCTTATGTGAATCTTAAAGGGAAAAGAAAAGTGAGCCCCGTAAGTCTGCATCAAAGTGCGACACCTCAACAGTAGCTCACAAGGGATGTGGGTAAGGAGAGATTGAAATATGATTAAAAGGCATATATAGAGAGAGAAAGGAGAGAGCGAGGCGCAGGAACAGTGAGTGAGGGAAATAAAGAGGAGATATGAAAGATGGACACGGTCGCAGGAGTCCGAGGATAGGGCACCACTCAGCGAGAGCTCTTGACGGCGTCAGAGATGGCGTAGGGGAAGCCCAGTCGGCCAGAGCTGCGCTGTCGTCGGGGATCGCGGGGGCACAACCGGTCAGCACGGAATCCAGCGAGCGAGTCTCTGCCACACGTGAGACATTAGCGCTATCTGGCAGTTTTCTTGGCAAACAAAGCGTGCGGCTCTGAGACGGGCGTGCACGCCCGTCTCAGAGGTGATAAGGTGTAGAACGCAAGGCGACGGGTAGGTGCCGCCACCGTGTCATCTTAGCAAAGCGTTGGAAACACTCGCCTTTACGTGCAACCGTTGCATGGTCAGCGCAGCGTGATAAAAGCTACAGTTCTTAGAATTACTCATGTACTGTATTTTCTAATAGGAGACGCACATACAAAATATATGCGTGTTGTTATGGTGCCTGAGATATGCGCTATATTTGCTTTTTATTTGACAATTGCAAAGTATGAACGCTGAATCTTAAGCAACATTGATGGGCGCTGCGGATGGGGTCGGCCGTTTGGGGTATCGGCTGGTGCCATTAGGAGTACCCAGTATCGTTAAGGGTGGACAAAAAGAAAATTGTACGGACAAACAGGCCAACATTTTTGCGTCCAAAGTCTCCTAAAAAGTCTATAGTTTTAAAAAGTGCTTCTAGAGGCACACTATGTCACATAAAGCGCGAAACAGACGATGCGATTTTCCGTACGATGCGGCGTGTGGTGCGACGATGCGGCAGCCGGAGTGATTGCGTTTCGTGACGTTTCCTGACGTATCACCGCATCGCACCACTGCGACGTTGGTCCGGCGTGCATTCAACCGGCCTGATACTTTCGTCGCGTCATGCTGCTGGTAGCGCCGCCTTCCTGTCACCGCTCCTATAAACCGAGGTCGAGCCCAGTTCAGGAGAGTCGATGGCGTGGCACGCGCCTGCATTTACTGACATCGCCGCTTACGGTGGCGTGAAAGATTGAGTACATTTCCTTTGTGACGTGATTTTCTTCCGTATTGGATAAAGTGCCGTTTGAAGTGTGCCAATTTTGCAAGGCAACGCCCGTTTTTCGGACCTTCATCGAGATCGAAGATCGTGAGGAGCGATGCAAGATCATATCGCAGGTAAACGCGACGATACCAGCGTGTCAGTGAGCCGGCTTGCTTCGCTTCCGGTTTTGATCTTCACATTGATGACATCGAGTAAGTAATAATGTATACTAACGCATTACATACGAGTGCAAAACTTGATTGTTTTGTCGAAAACAAGCGCTCGATGACGCGCTCGCGCGTTAACAGTGTAGACAATGCCAGGCGCCCGCCATGCTAGGCCCAACTGTCGGAGTCGTCAGTATTCAGCCGTTGCCGCTGTGTCGAAATTCTTGTCGTTGACGAAGGCGTTTTATTCATTATTTTTCTGAATGAAGCAGGGCTGTGCAATGGTCTTTGTTTTGAGCTTCATTATGACGATACGAAGTCGTCCTACCGCGCATGCCGAGGCGCCGCATGGGGTGGGGCCTGCCGTTGATGGCTCCTTCGCTGCCATGTGTCCCGAAAAGTTGCATACGGCACGCCGCACGCCGCATTGCACGGAAAATAGCACGTCTGTCTCGAGCTTAAAGCGGCCCTTTAATGGTTTGGTTTGTTTCACTGCATAACTAGTCCAAGCTAAACTGCGGTGGAGCCGACTTTTGTTTCTTCGCTACGTTAGGTGATTTTAAAGCATTCGCTGCAGTTTCATACGAAACATTCGCGTGAACATGCTTTCCTCGCTCGTGTATTCGAAGACCGAGGAATGCTGGAAACAGGGTGAATATGGCTGCAGACCACGCACCTTGTCGAAAAGCTCTTGAGAAGGATTTGGCGTGGCACTTAACTTTTACCATTCATTTTTTGCTAGAGAGAAATGCAATACGCTGCATTTGAAATTAACTTACGCCACCATCCCGCTATTTTTTTTTTCACGTCACATGAGGTTCCTCTGAAACTTCTACGGCTGTGACCAACTGGTCTAAACAATAATATCGAAGATCAAGATTAGGCCACAAGAGTAGCGATTGATTTGATTGATATGTGGGGTTTAACGTCCTAAAACCACCATATGATTACGAGGAACGCCGTAGTGAAGGGCTCAGGAAATTTCAACCACCTGAGGTTCTTTAACGTGAACCCAAATCTGAGCACACGGGCCTACCACGTTTCCGCCTGCATTGAAAATGCAGCCGCCACTGCCGAGATTCGAACGCGCGACCTGCGGGTCAGCAGCCAAGTACCTCAGCCACTAGACAACCACGGCGGGGCAGTAGCAATTGACACAAAACACGTTGATACGTTGTGCAAATGAGTATAAACAGCTTTTCTGGTGTTATGCCATGATAAGAGGTATTATTCGTGAAAGAAGAATTCATGTAAGGTGGCGTCAATATTTAACAGTGTATATTTCTATGGCGTTTTCTTGTTTTAAGATTGTGAAATCTAACCGTGTTCAATGTAGTACATGAAGAGATTGCAAATATGCTTCTACTGCATAAACTAAGATAACCAGTTTCGCTTGTACTATTCTTACCATCACTGCGGCTTCCTATATTGCTATGACTGATTGGTCAAGAAATTTACATCTTGGTAAGGTTTATTGGTAAGTAAGAAAGACTGCTGAAGCTTTCCTCACCTGTCCAGTTCACCACTAGACGTCTGGCAGATGGAGTAGCGCGACTTGTTTTTTCCAGCACACGCGGGAGATGAGTGCCCGGCCGATGGTTCCTGAAATTCTGACCTGAAATGTAAAACACAGAAAGCTCGTCTCGTTGCAATATTATCATTAAAGGATCAACTATATTTACGCGTCATGATGTTCTCAATAAATGGTAAATATATTGCACGTGTTTTATTGGTCGTGGAGCTAATTAAAGAACCACTAGTAACGTTTATATGATGACAATGACACAGAGGGCGTCCGGTTAGTCGCCAGATCATATCCCGGCCGCGGCGGTCACATCCAGGTGCACGTTTAAGAACCCAGGTTGTTAAAAACTTCAGGAGTCGTTCACAACAACGTTACTCCGAATCATATCATTCTTGCCCCGCCGCGGTGGTCTAGTGGCTAAGGTACTCGGCTGCTGACCCGCAGGTTGCGGGATCGAATCCCGGCTGCAGTGGCTGCATTTTCGATGGAGGCGGAAATGTGGTAGGCCCGTGTGCTCAGATTTGGGTGCACGTTAAAGAACCCCAGGTGGTCAAAATTTCCGGAGCCCTCCACTACGGCGTCTCTCATAATCATATGGTGGTTTTGGGACGTTAAAAACCACAAATCAATCATACAATCATATCATTCTTTTGAGATAAGGATCATCCATTATTATTACAGAGGGAGCTTGCGAATGCAGTTTGCAGCAAGGAAAGAGCACGAATAGAAAGCACGCAATAGCGATTTACTTGAGTTTGAGTTTGAGTTTATCTAACCCCGTGACAAGTACACGAAAATACACTGCTTACGCGGTTTGGTGCAAAGGGAAAAAAGCTGTATTTCACAGCTTGACTGGCCCCTTCACCCAGAAAAAAAATTTAAACTACAAATTTACAAAAAGTTACAAAAGTTACAGGCAGCGGAAAACGACAATACAAAAAGAAACACGCATGTGGCCCATGAAAGCAAATAATCGAATCGCAACTCTAAAATACACACAAAAATATTCATAACAAAGCAATGCGTGAATGAATAAAAACTGAATAACCATTAGAGAAATCACCCAACATTCATTTACAACACAATCAGCACATCCAATTTAACATTTCAGTTTTAGACAATATACGCAGATTATCAGTTGTTAGTTTCCATTTGTTCATCACACTTGGAAGGCGGTAACGTAATGTTTCAAATCCATAGTTTTTGCGAGGACATGGTACGTGCCAAGTCTCCGTACACCGAGTGACGCGACTGGCAGGGTTTGGTTGCAAGGTGGCCAAGGTGCGTAAAAAGATACCTCCTCTGCGTATTTCTGATTTAAAAGCTGACAAAAGCTGGTATTCGTATTAAAAGGTAATTCTTAAAATTCTATATTTTGCAAATATTGAAGCAGTGTGTGCGTTATAGGATACACCTTCAATGCTCAGCAAGGCCTTTTTTTGTAACACGATTAGGTTCTTTAGAGATGCTTTAGAGCCTGTAGACCAGACCAGATGACAATAGTGTAAATGTCAAGAAAAAAGAGCGTTGTACAATAATAATTTTTGTTTCACAGGTAGTATGTTCTGGCATCGACGCAACACACCTAGAACTTTACAAAGTTTGTGACTAATGTGTTCTGCATGGTAACTCCATGCCATGTGTTCGTGAAAATGGACACATGAGAGTTTTGACTGTTTGACAAAGTTTAATTTCAACGTTATAAGGTATTAGTTTGTGAGACGTTTCAAAATACTTGGCTTTCGCCCGGAACAGTACAGCCTTGCTTTTAGAGCAATTAATGTGTAAAGAATTTGCCACAGTCCAGGCATATATTTTATTTAGTATTTCATTAGCAGAAACAATGAGGTCATCAGCCGTTTCCCCAGAAAAAAAATATACTAGTATCGTCCGCGTATATTACATATTCTACAGAGCTGTCAATATGTGCGATATAGTTAATAAAAATATTAAATAATAGGGGTCCCAAAATGCGACCTTGAGGTACGCCATTCTTAACATTCATGGATGATGATAGCTCTCGATTGATTGATACACACTGTTTCCTATTAGATAAGTAGCTTCTTATTAAAGCTAAAACGGTACCGCGAACTCCATAACAGTGAAGTTTTTCTAGCAAAATATCATGGTTTATTCTATCGAAAGCTTTCGAAAAATCTAGAAATATTCCTAGGGTAAGTTTTTTTGCTTCTATATTCCTTAAAATCAATTTCTTTGGTATAGTAAGGCACTTTCGGTTGAGAGGCCTGACTAAAAACTGAACTGTGACGGCATAATAATGTTGTGTTTATTAAAAAACTTTGATAAACATATGAAAATAAGTTTTTCAAACCCCTTAGAGAAAACTGGTAAAATCGAAATGAAAATCGAAGATGCCCGGTTTCTTCACTTCAGTGAAGAAACCGGGCATCTTCTGGTCTCTAGGACTACAACTGAGAGAGAAAGTCACAACTGTCACATTGAAAAAAAAAATTGCGTAGCCACTTCTTTCCCAATACTAGTTCAAAATACGCAATAAAAGCCCCGCCGCAGTGGTCTAGTGGCTAAGGTACTCGGCTGCTGACCCGCAGGTCGCGGGTTCGAATCCCGGCTGCGGCGGCTGCTTTTCCGATGGAGGCGGAAATGTCGTAGGCCCGTGTGCTCAGATTTGGGTGCACGTTAAAGAACCCCAGGTGGTCAAAATTTCCGGAGTCCTCCACTACGGCGTCTCTCATAATCATATGGTGGTTTTGGGACGTTAAACCCCACAAATCAATCAAATACGCAATAAAAACATGATCAGCTTTTTTGTATTCGCTGTGTGTGTAAAAAAGACGGTAGTCGTCTACTCGCCTACTATTATTTCCTGGTCTCATCCGCCACTGAAAGCCCTACCAGCAGTGGCCGATGGCTGATGATTAGAAAGACCTTGGTTTCCCATCGGCTTGCGTTATCATTGGCCGATGCCCGGACAGCATGAAAGAAAAGGAAAAGGCCTACAAGCAAAATATGGGCAATAAGGCAAGGAGATCAGCAAATTTTTTACGTGTGCGTTTTTCTTAATTGTTGGCCCTTTTCAGTAATGAGAACAAAGAAAAGCCTCGAAAAATACCAGTAATATTTTCAATGGAGGCCAAGCGCTTTCCTGACACAAACCTTGGTTGCAAGCCAATGTTCTCGGTATTCACCTGGTCATCAAGCATACTCACTTTCGTGCATTATATACTATTAGACGGGAATTCATGGCGCGCGAACGGTAAAAACAAAATGAGGCACTTTTAGCAATTGTGTCCGTTTATTTGGTGCAGTCTGCCGCGACGTTGAAAGAACAGTCACTGAATATTCACGGTTGATCTTTTTTTCCTGGTAATTAATTCAGTTCGCACTGGTTGCTCTACAGAATATCCACTTTTTTCTTTTCATTCAAAGAACCAGAAGTGTACTTGCAAGAGCACAGTGTGGCGTTTAAATTTGACACTTCTTACCACAAGTGCGCAGTTTCGCCTGTGCACAGTCCTACTGCGCAAAAGAAAAATAGTTTACGAGTGCATCTAGACAGGCGATTCTCAGAGGCCACCAACTGCAGCGGCTGTCAAGCGCTTACGTAATAGTAGAAACTCATCAAAAATACTGCCATTCATGTGGCTTTAGGCATGTGTGGTATGTGCATGTGGGCCGCGGTGTACTCTCGCTTCCACATTCCACCGTGTGTATGACTGCGCGCCATCTTCGCGCCAGTTTGCTGCGCCTTGTTCGCAAGTTGCATGAGTTTGGATGCCCTGCCTCTACGTACTTATCCAAGTTGTAATAGAAAGTGAGTAAATGTCAGCAATATCTGTATAAGCCCTGGTCTTCTCAGCGCTATATGTGAATTGACGGTCAGGTTTACGACGTCAAAAATAGACGGTGTTTTAAGAAGCCGGCGCTGCGCAAGCGCCAGGGTCTTCCCCTAGTCTTAGCTGGATCCTCTCTGTTGGTGATATTGCACATGGCATAGTTTTTTCATGTTACAAGCAAAAGTCGGCCATATTCGAGGCATTTTTGGTAGGGTGTTTGAGCACTGGTTCAGTTTTTTTATTTTTCATGGGCAATACACTGCTTTATGGGAAAACATAAAATTTAAATTAACTGATACGTCCCAACCTGGTCCGAATGACAGTCACCCAGTTGCCGGCTGGGTATGCTGGCTAATGCGCCATGCGCGGCAATTTCTTGTTCGCTTCTGGCGGCGTCGCCTATTGCTGTTGACGAGTGAACCTCGCTAACGCGCTACAAGCCATGTTGGGTCGATGCCGGGACTTTCCTTATCTGAAGTTATAAACTTGTGCACGCAGTCATACTAACTAAAATGGATATGATGGATCGTGCCATGTACGGAAAAATCACGGGATCATCTATCTTCCAAATTCACCAGTGCGTGTTTTTTTTACGTACAGCTTTGACACAATAAGATTCCTCGGCCTTGTTAGGTCTACGTTCGTGTAATTCAACTTTTGAAATAAGGTAATGATGAAATTTTAGCTTCAGCTACTTCAAGATTTCATTTATTGATATTGATAATCTTGTCATTTCGACTGTTGGCGCTGTTTGAAAGTTGTGGTTGGTCATTAGATACGAAATTTTTGTAAGCCGTGCTGTTCCTTAGCCAAATACATTATTCCTAACGTATATCTGTTCTATTATTTTGCATACAGTGAGCGCCACTCGTCAAAATAATTATAAATTACTCAAAATTGCACGATTTTTACTATGGTACAAGAATTAAACTATAAAACGTGCAAAAATATTCTGTTTACAAAAACGGAATCGGGTCTAAATGCTTACTGGGTTTTGTTAACCTTATTCACAAATCGCAATATCGAACTCATAGCTTTTTTTGTCTGTTCGCAGTAGTACTGCGTAGAATGTACAATGAATATTTCGATGAATTGATGCTGATTTATTATGTCAAGAATATCTTTTTGTCGGCACAACAACCACAGGTTATAGTACAGATTAAAGCAAAGCTTTTAAAAGTGTGTAACATTTCTTATCAATTTTCTAATTTATGTATTGATTTTCTTCTTACAGATATCAGCTATTCGTGCCTAGGAAACGTCAACAGTGCTGAATATGCCGTGCAAAGAAAGTTCCACCATATTTTATCTAACGTGGTGACAAAGAAGTACTGTTGGGCCACTGAGAATGATTTTTTATTTGAATCTTTGGCAAATGTGTTGCTGTACCTGCTCGGTGAGTGTCAACACAAAAAAAACTTGTTTCTCGCTCTAGCTTTTGCTGACAGAGTGAAAAAAAAACACTGCGCGGAAACGACAGGAAGGAAAAGAGGAGACAGAACAAAGCATTGACTTACAACAATTTTTTATTTAGGAATGCGAACACATTGATATCGTAGCAGGCAGAAGACATGTTACTACCACAATATCGAAATTGTCGCTGTAACGTTGTCACAGAACGAGCGCTAAAAATGGGCGCGCCGCCAAATTCTTGCGATAACGGGCGGGAGAAACGCCGCGAGGTCAAAAGAAAAAAAAGAAAACAAACATCCAAGGCTCCCCCGGGCGTGCGACGCTCTCCCGACAGAAGCGTGGCTTCGCCGATGAACCTCCTCACTCACAGGGGCGGCCGGGCAAGCACTGGAAAATCCCAGAAGGAAATAGCCGTGGTCATACCGAGTTGAGTCATCGGTCGGGGACGGCCCTCGTACAGTCTCGCGCCTCTCCCCAGCCTTCGCTGCGTATCGCGCCGACGAACTGACGAGAACCTTCTGGAATGTCGCGCGCAAGGTATTTAACCGAGCAGCCGAGATGAGAGATCAGGAGAAGACGAAAGTAGTGCCAGAGTGCGTAGGGATTCCGCCGTGTAGTCAGCGAAGGTTTTAGTCCATAGGGACGAAGCAGGAGATGAAGAGGATTTCCACCTGAGAGGTGAAAGCTCGAGCTACAGGCAAGAGAGTGTGTTTACCGCTATCGAGCGAAGACGCGTGGCGACAGCTGCGTGTGTGAAGCCGACGTGTTCGGGCGAAGAAGTTTGAAGCTTGGAGAGTGGCCAATTGAAGACGTGAGGTTTCCTGGAAGAGAAACTTCGAGGGCGCGGAACGACAACAACGCTGGACTTTGAGGGAGTGATTCTCGGAAGTGTATCATCCAGAATTTTGTTCCAAGAACTTTGGACTGGATAGGTTTTCTATCTCTTTAGTCTTTAAGTGTCTTGGTTGTTCAATGCATGCGACTGCATTGTAGAGCGTATCGTTGTCTGTGTCCGTTGTTTTGAGTGTGGCTGATTCTACTGTGTAGTACGTTGTTTGATTGGTGACGTATTGTATGTACCTATTGTGGAGTGTGCATTCTTGTGTATTGTTTTCGATCTGCCATTTTTGAGAATATAATATTTGTTTTGTTTATCAACTCTCGGCTCTGACTTGTTCTTTGGGCCACAGCCGGCGTCCGTTGGCACGCCAAAAAGGACCACTTCTAAATTGTCCACGCTTTCGTGGTGCGGTTCGGGGGGCCCATACTTCGGCCCTTGGAATTAGCCCGGCGATCGCTTCCCTAATTAACGGGACCTGTGTAACAATTATTCTGGCGTCCGCGACAGGACCTTTGGTGCACAGTGTGTCCAAAGTAGTGAGAAAGAGCCTCGAGTTGTGATAGTGCTATCGGAACGATTTTGTGTGTTGTTCAGTGTTCTCGTTAACGAGTGCAGGGGAGTGTTCCGATAGACTGATTTAGGCAGATACTGTTTGCACGCGGCAAGGTTTTATTTGCGAGTTGCGAGACACAATGGATCTCGAAAAGTTAGTTGCGCTTGGTGAGAAGATGGGTCTTTCTGGCGCTGAACAACGGAAATGGGTAAGCCAGAAGGAGAAAGAGGCGGTGGAGAGAGAAAGGTTGGCAGCTGAGAGAGCCAAGGAAGAAAAAGCAGCTGAGTTGGAGAGAGAAAGGCTGGCCACTGAAAGGTGAGAGAAGAAAGAGAAGCAAAGGAGCTGACAGCTAAAAGAAGAAAGAGAGGCTAAGGAGTGACAGCTGAAAGAAGAAAGAGAGCAGCAATTGAAGTTGGAGTTGGAGAGAGAAAAGTTGGCAGCCGAAAGGGCGAGAGAAGAAAGAGAGGCAAAGGAGCGACAGCTGAAAAAAGAAAGAGAGCAGCAATTGAAGTTGGAGTTGGAGAGAGAAAAGTTGGCAGCCGAAAGGGCGAGAGAAGAAAGAGAGCAGCAATTGAAGTTGGAGCTGGAGAGAGAAAGACTGGCAGCTGAGAGGGCGAAAGAAGAAAAAGAGGAAAGGGAACGGCAGCGGCAGCACGAGATAGAACTCGAGCGACTTCGTTTGCAACAGCGAAGTGAAACTCCCGTCCAACCTAGAGTTGAAAGCAGTGAACGGGAAGATCATAGGCTTCCGCTTGAACCCAAGCAAGCTGCTCGTGGCGTTTGATGAAAGGAAGGACGACCTTGACGCGTACCTTCACCGATTTGAGACGATTGCGAAGAGCCAGAATTGGCCGGAACATCAATGGGCAACTGCTTTGAGTACTTGCTTGAGTGGTGAAGCGCTCAGTGTGTACGGTAGGCTGACGCCGACCAATGCAGCCAACTATGCAAAGGTGAAAGCTGCTTTGCTGAAGCGATTTATATTTACTGTAGAAGGATTCCGGGACAGATTTCGGACAGGAAAGCCAGCTGATGGTGAGACGGCTACGCAGTATGCAGCCCGACTTTGCCATTATTTCGACAGATGGATTGAACTTTCAGGGACAGCACAGGAGTACGATGAGCTTAGAGAGCTCCTAATTAGAGAACAATTTCTTACTAGTTGCCACCCAAGCCTGTCACTGTACTTGAAAGAGAGGAAGGCTGAGTCACTTGAAGGCATGCTCGAATAGGCTGATCAATTCTTGGAAGCGCAAGGTGGAACTAATTTGGCCAGGGTCAAGAAGGAGTGTCCTGAAGATTCGAAGAAATCGGCTCCCGAAGAAAAGAAGCGTGCACCAGAGAGCACTCCGCGTTGTTTTCGGTGTAACCGAGTGGGTCATCGCGCGAAAAACTGTCGAACGATCTTTACGAGCCCTACGGCAGTAAAATGTTTTAAGTGTGGTCAGACTGGGCACAAAGCAGACGCATGTCAGAACGGAGCGAGTCAAACTCACCAGGTATCCTGTGTGCTAGCAGCACCGAAATCCGATGATAATGCCGTCACCGATGGATTCGTAGAGTTGAAGAATGGGGAGAAAATTTCTATTGTGGGTGCTGTAATGACAAAACAGCCAACCGGTGTTACGAAGGGAATGCCAACGCTGCCTGGAAAAGTTGCAGACAAGAAGAATACGGTTCTAAGAGACACCGGTAGCTCCACGGTTATCGTGCGGAAAAACTTGGTACGGGAAAGTGAGTTGACAGGCAGAACGAAACCGGTTTGCCTAATTGACCGTACGGTTCGGATGCTTCCCGAAGCAGAGATTGAGGTGGAAACCCCGTACTTCAGCGGGAAGGTTACCGCTCTATGTATGACGACCCCCCTTTACGACCTTGTCATCGGAAACATCGACGGGGCGCGAGGACCGAATGATCCGGGTTGTTTGGGAGAAGACCCTAAGATAGAGTCCTCGCCAACCCAGCGACCGCGAGATACAAGGGAGGAGCCGTCCGTGACGGATCTCACTAGAGCCCAAGGTGAAGCCGCGGTACAAGAGACCATAAATGAGAAGATGATCGTGTTGAATGAGTTCACGGGCCGAGCAACCGGACTTACGTCGGCACGACCTTAACCGACCGACAGTGTAAAGGTGACAGAGTCGGCCAGCCGGGCCAAATGTCGAGACATGAACAAGCTGGTAAATAAACAGACAGGACCCGCTGAACGTTATGACCCGTTAACGGTGTCGGAAGTGACCACGATGGCTGAGGCGCCACCTCAGATATCGTCGTTAGAAATAGCTCGCCGAAAAAGAACGTGGAAACACAAGAAGAAATGGAGCGAGCACCGCAAGAAAGGGCGCAAGCGCCGCTCAATGTACACAGGATAAGTGCTGAAGTCGAATCAGAATGTGTTTGGCAGTGCTGAGTGCCATATGTTGTGTTAGTGTTGTGTTATCCTGTGTCACAAGTGTCGAAGTATCTGTGCTGTGATGTGATGTATAGTGTTGTATAATTGTTGTAAAGACAGAACCTTGTACGTTTGTATTGTTTGGAATGTGTGATGAAGCGTTGTACTCATGTGCCTGCGGTTATATTTCATGTGTGTGAGATTGAATGTAATGTCCAATCGTATTGAGTGATATATTGTGAATGTGAATTGTCATGAGCGACGGATTATGTTACAGTCTTCGAGAGTGTGTGGTGACTGTTCGCGCTCGTTTGTGTGGTTTGGAATATTATGAGATAATATTCTTAAAGTGGGGGGCAGTGTCACAGAACGAGCGCTAAAAATGGGCGCGCCGCCAAATTCTTGCGATAACGGGCGGGAGAAACGCCGCGAGGTCAAAAGAAAAAAAGAAAACAAACATCCAAGGCTCACCGGGCGCGCGACGCTCTCCCCACGGAAGCGTGGCTTCGCCTATGAACCTCCTCACCCCACCGCGGCGGCCGGGCAAGCACTGGAAAATCCCAGAAGGAAATAGGCGTGGTCATACCGAGTTGAGTAATCGGTCGGGGACGGCCCTCGTACAGTCTCGCACCTCTCCCCAGCCTTCGCTGCGTATCGCGCCGACGAAATGACGAGAACCTTCTGGAATGTCGCGCGCAAGGTATTTAACCGAGCAGCCGAAATGAGAGATCAGGAGAAGACGAAAGTAGCGCCAGAGTGCGTAGGGATTCCGCCGTGTAGTCGGCGAAGGTTTTTGTCCGTAGGGACGAAGCAGGAGATGAAGAGGATTTCCACCTGAGAGGTGAAGGCTCGAGCTACAGGAAAGAGAGTGTGTTTACCGCTATCGAGCGAAGACGCGTGGCGAAATCTGCGTGTGTGAAGCCGACGTGTTCGGGCGAAGAAGTTTGAAGCTTGGAGAGTGGCCAATTGAAGACGCGAGGTTTCCTGGAAGAGAAACTTCGAGGGCGCGGAACGACAACAACGCTGGACTTTGAGGGAGTGATTCTCGGAAGAGTATCATCCAGAATTTTGTTCCAAGAACTTTGGACTGGATAGGTTTTCTATCTCTTTAGTCTTCAAGTGTCTTGGTTGTTCAATGCATGCGACTGCATTGTAGAGCGTGTCGTTGTCTGTGTCCGTTGTTTTGAGTGTGGCTGATTGTACTGTGTAGTACGTTGTTTGATTGGTGATGTATTGTATGTAACTATTGTGGAGTGTGCATTCTTGTGTATTGTTTTCGATCTGCCATTTTTGAGAATATAATATTTGTTTTGTTTATCAACTCTCGGCTCTGACTTGTTCTTTGGGCCACAGCCGGCGTCCGCTGGCGCGCCAAAAAGGACCACTTCTAAATTGTTCACGCTTTCGTGGTGCGGTTCGG